CATGCTACCTCTTTTGTAAGTACCTCTATATCCTTATTCTTATTGCTATGTAAAGCTTATTAAATAAACCCGCGAGGGCCTTGTTCTGATATTCGACGATCCCCAATCATTCGGAATCTTCCGAAACTCGGTCAAATGCAAGACTCCCAACTCGGCTCCCAACATCAACAAAAAGTCACACTCGGCTACCGCCACACCATCTGCATTCATTTCGAAGCCCACAAAGGAATTTCTGTGACTCACTCGAAAACACATTTTTGATCAGATTGTCTCTGCTGGAGAAAATTATAATGCAATAATTATCGCGATAATAATCGCGCAATAATTTTCTGCATGATCAGGAAAACCTTTTTTTTTACATTTGGTTTGATTTGAATCGACATTTGGCGGCTGGATGCGTGCCGAATTTTTATTTTATTTCATTTTTTCGAAATTCGACTCCGCGATTGGATGCAAATATTTCTCGTATGTCCCAGAATCTCGAACTAGAATCCAGTCTTGAAAAAAAAAAAGCAAAAAAATCACGCTCCTGATAAGATCTCCTGAGACGAAAAAACGAATCGGAAGTGGGTGGCACGCCTCGTCTAGAGCAGACGACATCCAGGTGACATCCATGTGACATCCAGGTGACATCCAGGTGACATCCAGGTGACATCCAGGTGACGTCTAGCTTCCCTCGACATCACTGAGAATTTTGGCTTGAACCGAGGCCGCTCCGAAAGCGCAAGATGCGATTTTGCAAGCAGTCAGTCGAAGAATCGGAGCACTCTCATGAGGAACCCACCAGACCGCCTCCCTCTCGTTTCTCCAGCGCTCGAGCTCGCTGGTTTTTCCGACCTGAGGTCAGCGGCGAAGGAACCCTGCTGTCGAAAATGTAATAAGCCCGTGAAATGTCTTTTGTTTTCTCATTGCCTTCTGACTTCCGCTCCTTCTTTTTCCTCTTCCTGGGTTCACTTTTTACATTCAAGGAAATGCTGGAAAACCTGAATTTAAATATTACCGATCTAACAATGGAATCGGTCGAAGGGCAATTCGCATTGCGAGTGCGACTCGAATCGTTTCGAGCTGTCATCGGTCGAAAAGCTGGAACAGCACGTCAACGTTAGAATGAAGGAATGAGCGCGTGAATGGAAAATGGCGATGAGACACGAATGATTTTTTTTTTACACGATTCGCCATGGATCCAGTCTGGTGGATGGAATATTCCTTTATTCATCGGAAGATCGCGTCGAACAGGCCGGACACGAAGGCCGCCGCGTCGCCGAAGGTCACGGCGGGCGTTTGACCCGTTTTAAGTCGTTTCAACGCCGACTTGACTTCCTTCTTGATGGTGGAATTGGTGAACAGGAGTTTGAGGTAATACTTGACCGAGCCGCTCGCGGCCAGCGGCTCCGGGGCGTCGTCGGCATCGTCGGCGTCGTCGGCGTCGTCGCCCGTCGTCGTCGACAGGGCGAAGGAAAGCAGGAGCGCCCCCAGGGCCAGGAGCGACGAGGCTCGGAGACTCATCTCTGGATCGCGCGAAGGCGGGCGTGATGCGGGGCGTGAGATGGTCCACCTGTGGATGCCGCCCTGGTATCGTACAGAAAATAGAGTAACCTGAGATCGAACGTCCGAGTTGCTAAAGTGATAACGGTTTGCAAGGACTAAGTGATTTAAAAAAAAAGGAGTTGTGCCATTTTGCTTCTCGGTTGCCAAGTTTACAATTTTGCAAAATCTTGCGTTTGCTTTCGGTCTTTAAAATGCAGGGGATTCATCTCTTCACCTGTCTAATAAACTTACTGATGCGAACTTCGTATCAGTAACTTTGTAGGGCATATCTAATCGGAGTTGCAGTTTTTTTTTTTTCAAAAAAAAAAATTGCAACGTGCAAAAAAAAAATTGCAGCAAGAAGTGAATGTCCTTAACGGTTCGGTTCAAGTCTAAAAGACAAACTTCAGACTGAAGATGATCGGTCTGAAATTCGATCCGATCGAATTTTCTTCGAAAATCCTCTTCATTTTCCCATTTCACTGGAAATACGAGGAAGACTTTCATAAGGAGCTTGCCCTCCATTTTTTTTTTGAACTAGAAAAGATCAAGAACTGCGAATTCGCGGTCCAAAACCGTAGAGAAAGTAATCCGTAATCGCAAAAGATCTTCAGCTGCTGAAGTCAACAAACTCAGCGATTCCGCAAGTTCAACAACGAACCGTGATCGGAATCTCAGAGAATTTGAATTAATTTGAATTAATTAATTAATTTTGAGTGCATTTGAATTGAAACTGGATTTACGTCTGCTGAAGTTCAAACGTAAAAACTCAAATAAACACATACCCCACAGAGTTTACGGAGTAATTTTGGTTCATCCTGTAGATATAGGACCGAAAACTTGCCAGGTACAAGTCGATGGGATTCGAGAAGAACGAGAACTCGTCTCTCCTTTCGAGATGCAAAGACGAGAAGGAAGAAGACTCGAGACGATGTCGATCCGATGACGGTCCCCCGCGGAATGAAGGATGGGATCTCTCTCCTTCTTTCCCCCCTCGCGCTGAGGCTGAGGAAAACGAACGGGATGCACGCCACGTCAGAGCCTGTCAAACGCATCCTCGAACGTTCGTGACGTTTTCCGCTTCTTTCTCGCTTTCCGAAGAACGTGTCTTCCCTGCATCGCTTCATGCTAACGGTTCTCTAACGGTGGCGAAGTCTTTCGGTTTTTCTCCTTTGGTAGGTTCAACGCGTTTGGCTTTCCGAGATGCATTCGTTTAGGCAAACTCTATTTAGGGGAACGGTCCACAAGTACGATTTTGGGTTCCCAAGTACTTACCGTGTACCACCAAGGATTATATGAAAGAAACTATAAAATCTTCTCTTGGATCCTTATTGTTACAGTCAATCCTCGATATACCGCCACGGTCTACCTAGACCACTATGGTCTCCCATAAATCCAACCCTAACGTCCTCGTCTTGGGAGACTGGGCAACGTACAAAGTAGAGAAGTACCGGCGAATGGGTGAATTGCGAGTCACTAATTTCTTGAAGCACTCGACAGCTTTCCTTAAATAATTCGAATGGCGTGTCGCTTCGGAATGCTCTATAACGGAACCTGCTGAGAAAAAAAAAATCACCCCCATGTTCTTAAAATAGGTTCACCCCCGTTATATCGCCACTCTCGCGAGCCGTCATCCGCCAATATCATGTCCTAAAGGCACTTCCGCAGAAAGAAGTCTGGCGATCGCAGGCACGGGGGTCATTCGACGACACTAATCTTTTTTTTTCCTTGGTGTTTCCGTTTTTGACAGCCTGGGTATTAACTGTGCGACACTTTTCTTTTTTCGTCCAGACGCACGGTCGCCTTCCACATAGGCTTCGGTTCCCTAAATTCTTCTTGCATTCAGGTTGTTCCTGTTATTTTCCAATGAGGCAGCCCTACCCCCGCCGTGTTGTTTTATGAGTCTCTATGAGTTGTCGCTGCATATGGCTACCTAACTCAACTTCTTTAATGAAAATACCTCTAACCGTTCTAAAGTTATAGCATTGAAAGTGTAAGTCGATGATCCAGTAAATTTCGACCCTGGGAATGAACGGGATTCGAGTAGAGTATCATCTATCTATATTCACGCTCTTTAATCTCTGTTTGGGCGTTCCAAATTCAAACGGAGCCTCATTTGAATGCTATGAACGGAACTCGCCGGGAATCGGCGAATGGGTGAATTGCGAGTCATTAACTTCTTGAAGCACTCGACAGCTTTCCTTATATAATTCGAATGGCGTGTCGCTTCGGAATGCTCTGTAACGGAACCTGTTGAGAACTTGTAAGGAATTGGGGTCTCTGACAACGGGAAAAACGCCCACAATTCTGCATCACCACGGGAGTTCCAAATCCGCACGGGGTACCTCATTAGAATACTACAGGACGAAACTTACTGAAATTTAGTGCATGTGAAAACTGTAACCAATAAACATATCATTGGACCGCGTTGACGTTCTCCATGCCGAAGATATTAGGGATTCGGTCATGTTCACGACAGAATTTCGCATAAAAGTTACATAAAAATGAAATACGCTTAAAATTTCATTTTAGGCATATTCTACAATAGTTTCACTTGGCGACAACGATGAGGCGTATTTTCTTGCGCGATCCATTCGAATACTGAAAAGCTTTCGTTAGAGTGCTACAGGCGTTTCTCGAGAAAAGAGTACTGATGGAACTTGGGTAGTGAGTGGTTTGGGCTGGAAAGATGGCATCGTTCCGTCTGCCATCATCGACGTTCTGGTCCACATTCGACACTTGCTTGAGAGCGAAGACAGAGAAGGCAAAGCGATGCGAGGAGACCCAGTCCTAACGGAAGCCACCTCCTTCCTCACGAGTGAATCGCAATCGTAAATACTGCCGAACTGGGGAGGATGAGGGAATGGTCAGGTCAGTTCTTCCTTCGGCCATCGGTCGCCGCATATTCCATCCCATAGCAGGGAAAAGTGAGGTAAGGAGTGTCGAAAATTATTCCAAAATTTCATACCACTATAAAAACCAATCCTTTCAAAATGCACATGCGAAAAATATTAATATTTTATGAATGTCTTCTGAGGCATGCTCAGCCTCCTAACATGACTGTTTCTTAGAGCAAAGTCCAAAACGTAACTTTTTTCGGCCGTGTGGTATTGCAAAAGTCTCACACTCATATTTTCTCGTTTTCTTTCTAGTCTAAGGACTGAAAAAGGGGCAGATATGAGCTCATGTGGACAAAGGAGACAGAGAAGAACAGAAATGGTTCACCCATCCAGGAAACGCACGCTGCATAATATTCACCTCAGGATAGTCAGTCTGATGATTTAATGTGGGAAAATCCCATTCGTTTTTATTTCATATTGATTAATGAGATGGCTGAAACACCAGGCTACTTCGCTCAGATGAATGGTACACATTATATGCAGACAGTAGCCATTACACACGAAGTCTATCTGCAATTACTGCACCAAATGAAAAACCATAAAAACGCAATTCATAAAGGATAAGCGGCACTTGTTCAGTTGACTGTATCGTTGATAACAGCACTTGAGGGCCAAAACACCTTCCTAGTTGAAATCAGTCAATTGATAAGCTCCTTGAAGAGAAGCGATAGAAACAGGTTGTCAGACATATTTTCCATGACTTTATGAGAAATCAATTTTTCATTCTATCATTTTTATTTCAACATTTTGTACTTTCATACTTTCCTTTTAAATACTCCAGTATTACACACATTTGTATTTTAAAACTTCACATCTAGAAAAGCTCACATTCAGCATCATTAGCACAAATTTGCATCTACCCTACTTGACACCATCCACAGGCCTTCCCTATGAAGCCTAATATGAACGAAATGAGAGTTTTTCCCAGTTTAATGAGAGCAAAACTGAGTAGTTCGTTGGGAAGTTCCATGGGTATCATTGACATGACAGCCACAATTAAATCCTTTGTGGAGACTGCAGAAATATCCCAACTCAGTTATTACACATTACAGTTCCTCTGTTTCCTATTGTCTTGGCACTGTAACATTTCACTCATCAAGCCTGATTTGATCATTCATTCATAAGTAAAACAATTTTGTGAGAGCAACTTGTGATGTGCAAAATACAGTACCTGTTCCACAATTGGAAAAATGCATTTACACACAAAATTTAACTTATTATTCGTCATTCGTGGCAAGGACTTGTATTTTGTTCAGTTGAAATGAAAGATATATATTTGGAAATAGCACTGAATTTTTTTCAACTTCTACAGAAAGAGAAATAAAATAAAAATGGTGATGGGAATGAATTACTCTAAAAAGGATAACATAATTCAACCTATAATACTTGAAGTTCTCAGCAAATGATAGAATCAGTGAGAAAGAACATTTAGACATTTAGCAGAAAAAAGTGTGAAGGTGAACTGACCTTGACTCTCATCATATCTTGAGTCAGGGCAAATACTTTGTGTATGGCAACATAACATGACATGCTGTGACTAAGGGTGAATTCAAGGTCAGTTTACCTCATGTTAGATAAAATCTTTCCTCTTCCTTAAACAGCAGTATGACAATTCCCTTGAATGCCACACAACTCAGCTACGATTATATCGATTGCCCATTCCTTTTGGATTGTCCTCCTTCCATTCATCCCATCCCCGCTGCCTCCTGAGCATTTCCTCATCATCCTCCTCAACCTCTCTTTCTTTCTTGATCTCCTCTTCCTCTTCTCGCCTCTGAACTTCCTCTCTGGTCACATTCACTGCTCCTTGGGCAGCAGGTTCTTGAAGCCTGAACAAAAGACATTAATTGAATAAGGAATACAAAAACAAGCCTTGAATTCAAAAAAAACCTTAATTCAGCAGGCTTACCATCCTTCACCCATCCTCTGCTTGTAATACTCCTCAACAGTAACAGTAGGAAGGCTGGGATAGCCCAAGCCAAACACCTTCTTCTGCATTTCATCACGACATATTATCACAGGTTTTAGGGGATGGGGTTTCTCCACAAATGGTCCTTTAGTATCTTTTCCACTGGCTTTCATCAGCACCATGTGCTGAAGCATCGGCTTCTCTCGTGCAATCGAGTCCAATTCATCGTACGATGCATTCACAAATTTCCGCAGCTGAGTCATGTGGAACTGTCGCACTGTGTCCTCATCTGCACGTCCATCCTTGATCCTGATTTCAAGATCTTTCAACTCATCTTCCATTGTTTTCTCTTCCTTATAGCGTTTCACCTTCTCCTCTCTCTGTTTCATGAGGGAATTGAAACTTGGTTTGGTTGAGGGCACTTTCTTAGAGTCATCTTCTTCTGGCTCATTTTCTAGAAAGTCCACTTTTTCAATGAGGCCATAATCTCTACATCGAAGAAGGTAGTCTTTGAAGTAGGCCTCTGCAGTCTTCAGCAAGTCCAGGCGGCCAGATGGTTCTGTTGTCTCGCGCAAGGTCAGGTGACCAAGCATTGCCGGAAGGAGCATGAACTTGAGGTTATCAGAGCTAATTTCCTTAATGTCTTCATTGCTGCTGAATATATCCATGGCAGAGACAAAACGTGTTGCATCTTCTAATAGAGTAATGCACCTTTTCAGTTTTTCCTGCAAAAAAAAAAAACCACCCATAGAGTTAGGCCTGAGCATTAATTAATAGGCATAAGATTAGCAAAAAGCTTTCTCCCCTCAGGCTTGCATATTGTATAGCATATGCATTTAAGGGAAATTGACAACATCATTCTACACATTCCCAGCCAACCATGTACACTTGCACAGGAGATGTTTGAGCATGATGGAGCCAAGTAGTATCACATTAAATTCATTAAGTGAGAGAGTGACATTCCTAATTAGAGATGCAGCAATACTGAAGCATCAGAATCAGTCAGGACTAGAATCAGACAATACCAATATGGCCAATCTTATCTGATTCTCTGCTGCCACACACCGTAATTCTTCCAAAAAGTGTGCCTTTAGAAAGGATTTAGTTTCTCTGGTGCCAATTGCTCCTCTGAGAGATACAGGCTGAATAAGGAAAAGATTGACTTGCTCACATTTTTTAAAATGATAGTCTCCCTTTCATTTTCTTCATCTCATGAATAAAGTCCCAGAAAGCCAGGGATTAGAGAATTTCACTTCAGGATTCTGAAAGCCACTGGGAGGTATCGGTATCAGCAGATACTAAGGCTCTGGAATCAGTATCTGTATCAGTGCATCCTTATTCATAATGCAGACAAAGGAGGGGGAAGGAGATGAGATGATATGAACCTGATTATATATTATTCATAATTGAATACACAGGCCATAACATGTAAAGGAGGAAGAGGCAATAAATCAAAGTCAGGGAAAGGAGGCAGGAAGTGGCAGCAGCAAATAATATAAGGACTAGACATTGGCCAGGCCAAGCATAGGAAAGCATACCTCATTACAGCAATAGTTTCTCATTGCCCCATTTAGTCGCCACAAAATTAAGCCATAAGCATATTCAATTGACTCTAAGTTTAACTTTGACTTACAGTATTTATATGAAAACAGGATTGTTTAAAGCAGTAACTTTGTCCCAAGGCCACTGCTAGGCTCAACCCAAATGCCCTGACAATAGCCATGTCTAAGACATTTGTACTGTGTTTTTTTTTTTTTTTTAGGGCAATCTAAGCCTCCACAATAGACCTGCGTCCATATCAAGTCCCAGAATACCTTGCAATAATTGTATAGGGAAATGATGCACCTGAGACATGTTTCGGAAAAACTAACTCAAAAGCAGAATCTGTACCTGATAACTGTTGCTGGAGGTAGGTTCATCAGCGTTGAGAATGCTCTTATATTGATTGAAACCCTCGTCAAACAGGGCTGACAGCGTATTTTGCGATTCAGGTGGCGCCATGCTTTACCAATACGCCACTCCTGACACCTAGAGTACAGGAAGTTAAGTGTCTGTTTTCCCCCTCTAATGCAGATAGTGCTCATTGCTCTCCGCGCTAGTGCAAGGCGCGAGGTCGAGTTGTCCACCTGAACATTCTGCGGATGGAATGTACTGCTTTCAAAGTGTCATTATTCCATGAAATTTCTGGAACTGTTCTTTCGCCCTGACATCATTGCGTCCAGGTTGAGGGTTCTTCCGAACTTCCACGGTACGAAAATTTCCCCATCAATGCGCTACAGCGATTCGAAAATGAATTCGTACCACCTTCTACATTGCGCATGTATTCTGCATTATGAACATACCATTTTTCAGAGTACCTGTTAGACGTGGAACGAATTAATTTGCCGATCATTCTATACATTCCCAAAAAGAACGGTTCTATGTACACGAAATAGCACATTACGGCCGGGATTAGCAATGCCATCCTGCCGATCGATCTCCGTCTCGAGGTCTATCGTTTTCTAATCATCAGGAGGACTCAGAATTCTAATTTCATGTTTGCGAATATGTGGAGCGCAGTTTTTGGAAAAGAACGCTCTTCCAGCGCTTCACGAGCTAATCCATGTTCGTCAAGAAGGTCCTTGTGTTCTTGTGTTCATGCAAAAGTTGCAAAAGTGTCGACAGTGTCGTGTTGACCTTATGAACGAGAGTCGCTCTGGTGGACATGGACTGACAAGCATATTATTGTTCGTAAATGGAAAATGTGTTGCATATTTTCTATTGCTCAAATGCATGATAATCGCTTCCCAACCTGCAAGTCCAAGGAAACCTTGCATATTGGAATCAATTCGGTAGTTTTTGCCACATGGTGCTTTGCATTGTGACAACGCCAAGTGCAGATCGCAGGGTTCAGTTGTGTCTTGTAATTACCAATTGGCCACTAAGTTTTGGCCCGTGTATTTTGTTGAGACCGTATTTAGAATATCCAGTACTTGCTGAATGCGATGAAGTACCTCCGAAAGGCACCTCCACGTCCTGAAGCAGGTCAAGAAGCATCTTCAGAGCTTGATATGTACTTAATCCTTTTATGGTACTATCGACGCTAGACACGCATTACACCACTAAAAACACCAAGAGACACGCTCCTCGGTCAAGACGATCCACTTTTTCTTAATTCATGAAAACCGGTTCCATAATTTTCGCTCCTGCAAGTTTTCCAATTACTGATAAATGTCAGTACTTTCTGTACTTCCTAAGTCCTAAAGGCGCATCCTCATGATAGCATGAGTTTGAACATAGCTTACCAGTCGCTGTCAGAGCTTGAATCGCCTTTCCATATTATTTGTTCTAGGATTTCGTTATCCCCCAGTCTTAGGTCGTAGTAAGCCCATGGATACTCAATTCGCTGAAATTCATTCGTTGATCTGAGGTGAGCAGTGTGCTCGGTCTCAGACGAACAAGAAGTAACTCCCCAACCACGTACACATCGCGAACTCACTCTCAGAAACACTCGAGAGACATTACGTCACCGTCACCAACGATACTTGACGTTGTTGGGGGAAGCGGAGAAAGTGTCTCAATATAAAATTATACGCGCGAGCGTCAACCTTTGCTTGCTTGGATTGAAGCCGTAGGGGCATTTTCCTATTCATGTGTATGGGGTCTTTCCCCAGTCGGACTCCCAAGCCCCAGACAAACATCGATAGTGCGCTGAGGCGTCAAAAAAAAAAAGAAGCAGAGCCATCATTATTTACCATCATTCTGTTTGCTTCTCGATCGTACAGTCGAAAAACGGTCTGGAGCGGAAGCGGTTCACCCGGCAAAGAACTGTCCCGAGAACTATAAAAATTTTTTGTATTAGAGCAATCTCCCGTCTCCATATGGCCTCCATCTGAGGCACTATTGTGCCATGCACCGTATATAAGGCAGCACTCCCGTGCCCTGTAATTCACCGAGAGATAAAGGGCATCGTCGTAAGCTGCGTTTATTCGGAGTCGATAAGCTTAAACCACTATTGAAATGACTTGGGAAGACAGGGAGATTTACAATGGCCTGGCTGTCAGGAAACTGGTCTAGAAAAACACAGGTGAGGAGGACTCGTTCATTCGAGACCTTCCCTCGGTCTCACCAGATGTCTCTGGGTGGACCTTGCCTACATTTTCAAATTCCTCGCAGAGAGACTCGAAGCATTCGTCTCTATTCTTCGGGTATCTTTCTCCGAATTCAAAGCTATGAAATACTCGAGATGGCGGTAGAGACCGATTCGAGTTCAGGGTCGCTGCACCAGGCCCTTCAAGCCCTTCAGGTTAGCAGTTCCTTTAAATGCCATTTCAGATTGAAAAAGGAGCTCTCAGAAGCGCGCCGCAATCTTTCCAGTTGCAGGAGATCGACACGGATGGAATTAAAGGATGAACCGTGGATGGGCGAGTAACCGCAGGCGAAGATGCGAGTTGTCAAGGAATCCTATATACCTAACAGAAAAATTATTGAATTCGTTAGTCACAAGCTACGCGCTGGAGTGAAAATCACCGGTGTTGCAGGTAGGTATCAAATCTCTTATCTCCTATCTCAAGCACGAGTGCTGAATGCAATTTAAGTCTACTTAATACAGCCCAGGTATCATAATGTGTACTTGGTTTCAAGTTCACTCCAAGTACCATCTGCCATGAGACAACGAGCAAGGCCGGAATCTCAGTTCTTTTTTGGCCGTAATCTGATGATATTGCATTTTCGGATGCATCAAAATAGAATAAGAATTTCAGTTCAAGTAACAACTTGGTTTTATTTAGAAAATGCGCTATTATGTCCAAGTTTCAGTACGACGAACCTTGAGACAAAATGCGTGAGTAGAAATATCAAGTACACGCAAAGCATTCATGACTCCTGCCAATTATATAATATAAATTTTAGGCATTCCCAAAGAAAGTTGATATCTTTCGGGAACGAGCAGTCAAGGAGATCTTAGCTCTACCTCACATACATACGAGAGATCGACAGGGTTTTCGTTAGATGGGCCACGGAGGGACTTTACTCTTCCAACATCCAACCGCAAGTACTAAGTGCATTCAAAAAGTTCTGATTGTTATTTTTTTCTAGAAAACTAAAGATGCCACATCGTTCAACAATAGCTCATTTTTCTTAATAGTCTCCACACTTTTCACCACCCAAATGGACCGCTTGCATGCGTTTCCAGTTCCTCGTATCGCATCCAGATATGTTTGACAGTAAAATACGAATTGCCGGAGCAGAAGCAGCCCATTTCCTCTCGATACATTGCAAAAGAGTAGGCGAACGGCGAAGTGATCAAAACCGCTATTTAATTTAAGATTATTCCCTTTCTTGAGACGTAAAACTTTTTTAAAATAGTAAATCAGCATTCCTTTCAATAACGTTCCTTCCACTAGCCCCCTCCTGATGATCACTGCATATCACCGCATACAGTATAAGTACAAACCAATATCGTGAAAATAGAGGGGGAATGAAGTGAACAAAATGGCATCGAGCTCTTTATCGATCGCAGATTCGCCACCCTTCAACGTATCGGCGCTAATGAAGAGAGTTTGCGGGAAATGTAATGTGTCCCCACACCCCCACATTATTATTCATTCCCCCCATATGAGCCTCGCCATCATCATCATGATAAACAGACGCCTCACAATAACACAATCAGAACGCATCGACTGGGGAAGACAGCGCGACGGATCGGATAAAGCCTCACCAAATGCTCTCGTGTCATTTCCTGCTTTCTTTTTATTCATGAGTCTTCGGTATCCCCCCGCTTTGTAATTGACCGTAAAATTTCTCCTCCGTGGACTCTATCTACTGACATATGTCAATATGTTTCCCGCTTCCTCATACCAGTTTACTTCGAAATGTCATCTCATCTAAGTCTACAGTGTCTGAATACGACAACAAATATTGTGACATTAATGGAGGGCAATGGTGAATGAACACAACAATTACTTTTTCTCCGTCTTTCCCTCTCTCGCTCTTCCCATCATGTCAGGGGTTCCTGCAAATCCTTCACTGTATTCGTAGGTTTGATCCACTTAGCTTCAGCAGCGTGGAACCTCTGTTTGAAAGAAAGAAAGACAAAGCGAACCATCATGGTTCGCTTTGTCTTTCTTTTTTTATTTTATTTCTTTATATTCTCCCTCTCCTGTTCTTTTGATCCCTACGCTGCAAAAGCATAACGCTTTCGGTTCAGATATATCTCTGAAGGGAGATATCAAAATATCATTTCCGCTCGGCTGGGCAATGAGCAGGCGACACGTGCCGGCATGCAGAAAAGAAGAAAAAAATAGGGGCGGGAGAATCACTTATTCTACAAACGGAAAAACAAAAGGGAATCGGCACGTGGAAGGAGGTGGGAAGCATCTGGGTCCAGCCGATATCAAGGGAGTGATTTCCCCTGGGACAATCATGCACAAATGGGATTCCCAGCTATCATTTCCAGTCGAGTTGTAATTTGTCATATCCCACGCCCGGGGATTATGGAGGAGAATGGCTCGTTTTCCGATCCGATGCCCGGCTGATGTCCCCCTTTTCTATTCCGTCCCGACGTACTCCCATACCTCTGCATTATACTCATTATGGCCACATTTTACTCTCGTGATGAAGAAGATCTCTGGGTGCGATCTCCTGGAAAATAGACATGTCAACTTCCGTTTCTCTTCCGCCTGTCCTGGTCCCTGATGACCGGATCTTTCACAGATTGCTGGAAATCCTATTCCGTATGATCGTAATCTCGGATTACAATACAGACTACACAAGACCAGGACTAGACCGCAAGAAAGTGAAAGTTGACACATAAAAGCTAAATCAGGTCGATGAAGGAAGGAGCTGAAAGATACAATCGATTTGTCCCTAAAGTAAAGTAGATTATAGCTTCCGCGATTATTAAAACCCATCAGTCTTTTGTTTTCATTTTGAAATGAAATTATGAGACACCAAAAGTGATTCGAAATGAAAATTAGTGGTTATGCATCATAGTTTATTAGTATCGTATTCAGCTAGGAATCATTTATGAACGTACTCCCAGAGAGCTTTGAAACGCATACCATAAAACCATTATTGATATTGCCTGAAATAAATTTGTGTGAATGAAGAGATGACTAGAATTAAGCCCGACAGAAGAAAGAGCCGGTAGAATTCCTTCGCCGGATAAGGGAATTCAAGCAAGCCGGACTTAAAAGCCCCAAAGATTGATGAATGCAGTGATTGATTGAATCGCCTTGTTGTCGCCTTCTCGTGGTGTGAAACGATGCAGATGCACGGTCACCGAAACGTAACTCGGAATTTTCAAGAAAAGTTAGGAAAAATAATTTGGAGCGGTTTCTCTTTTTTTTTGCAGTTGCCTCATCTAAAATTTAATTTAACTCTTCATTAGAGTCGCCTTCAGATCCAGTTTGAAGAGTTGGAAAACATTGCAACTGGAAATTCACGATCAAAGTGAATAAATTTTATTCGTGTTCGAATAAGTCGCTCAGCTTGGTGACATGTGCATTTCTTATACTTTAAGTTGCTTTTGGCAAGCACCAGTTCATGAAAAAAAAAGAGAAAATGTAAGAACCTTATTACAGACTACTTTTTAACAGTCCATGTCATCTCATTGTCCCTTTCAAGATACTGATTCCTCGAGTGGAAAATTTTTCTTTGAAGAACAGTCAAGCCTTTTCGGAGCGAGTCGACCTAGAATGAGGTTCCTCTGCAAGGCTTTCAGATCACTAGTTTCGCTTTCATCTTTTGAACTTAGAGCTGACATTGTCTCGATTAATTGTACTTATGATATTGAAACGGTACGTGTAATTATTTTCCCCTGAAGAAGGAAGGATGTTATCTACTGTCTTCGTCACACTTTAATCGACTTCAATGAAGCCTTCATTCCCACGTTCAGTCCTGAAGTGAGTCAGTTGCGATTCGGCAAACTTGTTTTTGCACTGTCGAACGTATCTTTCCGGCGTAAAATTCCTCTTCGTTTCGCAATGTCGCGACAAGGAGTGCCTTATCCGGCGCCTGGCTATTTGCTCTTGCGCGACCACAGCTATCAGGAGGTTTCTCAGGCTCTGTTTAAACCAAACCTCTCCCGGTTCCGGGGAAAGAGAAACCTCGTGTATCGCGTGTTCTCTTTGCTTCGTTTTCCCAGGTGTCAACTTGAAACTGACATCTGCAGACCACTTGCCATGTCCAGCATTGTTGATCCAAGGGGCAATTGGATAAAAGCGTCTGGCCCATTAGTTTAGCATCCTCTCTCCTTTAAGAGCATCGTCATCTTTCCAAATTCCAAAAGTTCTGTTGGGCTAGGTGTCTTTCTTGGGCATCAATTAGATAACATAAGTAGATGGGAGATCCAAGCGAATAAAAAAAAATATAGAAGACATCTCCCTGTCTGTTCTATGCATTTATTGCGAACGTGCTACCTCCTTCCTGCAAGCAACTTGTATGGAGGGTGAGACGCTATTCTCTCTCACAAGACCACTTAAAAATATATATTCTCATTCACGAGCCAGAAGTTGGGATAGGTCCCAAAACTATGTCCCTTCGTGGCTATCCTCAACCACCCTCACTAATCTGCGCCAGCTGGCCCATTGATATGGCGGTGACAAGTCAATTACTCTTGATTAGGGAAAAATAAATACGAGATCAATAATAATAGATTCCACGAATCTATAAATTGTTATTTTTCGAGTCGTGAAATGTTCACTAGATAGGTTCCGTCTTTTTCGAGAACCATAGTGATCAGAGTATGAAATTAAGTGGGGGAGGGGGGGATCCCCATGGAAATGAAGACTCAGCTTGGACGACCAGAACGATTATTATTTCCATCTAGATATTCAGGTTATACAATACATACCGTTATACCAGGTCTCCAATGGAGACCGATAGATAGAACGTAGGGAGAGAGGGGAAGGGAGAAGACTCAGATCTCACATCGGGACAAAACTTATTGATCGAACAGAAACATCGAGATTATTCCCTGAACGTCACGCTTCCAACACTTCTGTAAAAAAAAAAAGAATTTTTAATATTGAATACTGTATCTTTGCATCTATTTTGGTAGGATTCCAACAACTATGTAAGGACTCGAACGAGCCCACGTAGAGAAATAGTTTGCAGATTGAAATTCCATTTTCATGACAGCAACTTTCGGTAAGTAAAGTACAAAATCAAATGAGGAAAAAATTTATGCTTAAAAAATAAAAATGAAAATACCAATACTGCTCCTGGATTGTCATTTGTCATTTGTCCAGGTGTCAAATTTGCCTGAACATGTTCATCCCTTGATATAGACTCAGGCGAGTGTTGGAAGCATATCGCATGGATAGAGGGAGAAGGAAAATAACCACCTTGAATCAAACAGTGGGTCTGTCAGAGTACTGACAGGACTGGGTGAGGCCGTTCCCCTGTCGACCAGGACTGGGAGTGCTGTACGTTCCGAACCCTACGTGCTGCCTTGCCTTCAGCCTCAGCGTGGCCAGGCTCGTAGAACACTGGTCCCGATACATGGAATACGGGGAAGAGGGAGCCTGGACATACGGGCAGGTGGCAGCCCCAGTCGACCCTGCGACCATGGATGACCCGGGCGATGTCACCGAGGGAATGACCCCGTTCCCCGCACCCTGGACAGCGGTCGCAGTGCTGGGGAAGAGGGGGACCGAGGAGGTCATCGCTGGGTTCCCCCACGAGAACCCCTTCGTGGGTCCTCCCAACGGCGAAGGCACCTTGCTGGTCCAGTTGTTCGTCGCGTAGTATGGGGAGTACAGGCTCGCCTCGTCCGGGAACGGCTGCATCTGATTTCACACAAATTAGATACATGCTGGAGAAAAACCCTTGCGCCATACTCAAGCAGAAACAACAGAATTCTGCCGTAAACAGATTCTTGCGAGAACATGAAGCTCAAATGGGGAAAAAGAACTTTAAAAATATATACGAAGAAAAGCAGGCCTGAGGCAACGAAGAGCATTTAGCTAAAAAAAAAAAAAAAAAAAAGAAAAACTCAAACTGGGTTGTATTGTTTGATAATTCTCCCGATTCAAAGTTGAGAAATTCTTCAGAGCATCACTAGCCATTTTGAATCGGTCAAATCATGTTTTGAAATTTACTCATCCATGTGAAGCAAATGTAAAAAAATGTCCTTAGTACAATCTCTGCATTCTAGTCATGAGGGACTGCCAATGGGATAATTTAATGTGTCAGACAGATAGAGGCGATGCACTGTATTGACGGACGTTCCCCTTCATGAACAAGGAAGGACGTACCAATCCGTTGAATTGAGCTCCAAAGCCAGCCGTTTTGAAGTCCACAGCAGCTGCTGTCATTGCGTTCCGTTCGCGTTTCCGCCATTTAGCGCGACGGTTCTTGAACCATACCTGTTAAAGCACAATGAACAACGTTTAAAAAAATATAAAAAATAAAATAAAATATATCAACAAGATAGTAGCTGTTCGTGCGTGATGGTATTTTCTTGCTTTTTGATAATTCAGAATTTGACGAGCTTATATTGAAAATTTCTTGGGAGTCATGGGGTCCATAACCAGTTGACGTCAATGGGAAACCATCCGGGGAAAGATTAGTCTCTTTCCTGGGTGCATTTCCCACATGCATGAATAAATACACATGCCCACGATGAGTTTAGTCGGGGGGGAGGCTTCCGTGCAGCATATTTTGCTCCCATGGACAGTTTTCGATAAGATTGCGGATGTTCAATCTGTTTTCCCACGCGGCTTATCTCGGTGCGAAGTCTCGTTAGCACGTTGCCACCACCTCCGCCTCCTTTCGTCACGTCCAAAACATTTAGCATCAAGATGTGCGGCGACCTGTTGATATTGCACAAGGCGCGGAACCGAATCGACGGTATGCATGGGCAGGAACGAGCGAATGTTTGAAAGGAACGCGACGGGTTTCCGGCATTCCCATGCCCTGTCGAGGGAGGAACAGCGATCCATTATGAAGTAGTGGCATCTCGATGTTTGTACTTCCCAAGAACTTGTCCGGTTTCTTCCATCATCCACTTCCTCCTGCTAAATGTATAACACCCAATTTTGCGGACTGTTTCCGTTTGGCGAAAATCCCCGTCAATTTTGACTTCTTGCAAGAAAATCGACTTAGGATCTCTTTTTCTCTTGAAGTTGACACGATGCGCTCTTGCAAGAAACTTATGTCAGGAGCAGTTGTCCCATCCTCATTTTCCGAGGTAATCCCCCTCTGATCCCTGGCGCTTAGGGCAGAGCAGTTCCCTTCTCATCCTTGTCTCTTAATGGTACCCCCCCCCCCCACCTCTCTCTCTCTCTCGCTCAATCGCTCTCTTGTCCCATCCACTGTGAATTACGTTCCTCCATGCAGGAGAAAACTAACGCCTTTGCTGCTAAGTACAATGATTTTTTCCCCCCCCCCCCCCCCCCCCCCCCCCTCTCTGACCCTCAGAGATGAGCGCACTTGGGACGAGCTGCCGTGGCATTATGCGTCGCTTTAGCATGCTGAAAGTCTGGATCCTATTGGACGAAGAGCGGCGCATGCGGGGCCGTGACGCAACTGGGCCTATGACGTTGACGTAATGCTTCGATATTTCATGCAGACGTCACCGATTCCTTCGCAAAACTTCTTCCATGCCAAACGGAGAAGTCTTCAGCCTTCACCAACAAAAATGCCCTGGCGTGCAATGCGTCGACAGCCTCAGGGAAAGGTCTACGCCGATTGAACGACGCGTTAGTTCGAATGCGTCAAAAGAACCTTTTCTGACAGCTCAGAGAGAACATAACCTTAATCGAAACTCCCGGTTATTAATATATATTTGCAAAGCTTATTATTATTAATTGCAATAATTTGCAAAAAAAATTCCACCACGATCAACTTTGGGCACTCTTTTATTCGGATTCTCGGACTTTGACAATTTAAACACCAGATCTTCCTTGATAAAAGTTTTGTTCTGACTATTTCTCTAGAAAAATTATTCTATATCACAAGGTTGCAAGTATTGTACAAAGTTCGATAATAAATGCGTGCTTCAAGAATAAAAACTTGGGGGCTCAAACTTTGGTCCCCCTAATCACTGCACGTACCAGTGAAATGACGATTTCGCTTGCAGATTTAAAGCCATTCTTGCCCGCATGTGCTGGGAATATCGCAAGCAAATCTTTTATGGAAGCGACAAGATGGTTTTGCGCGTCAGAGTAACCACGTGCAATAAAAGGCTAATAAAATTTTTTAATATATAGGTATGAATTATTTAACATTTAAATGTCCTTTTTAAGTCGTGTTTTGAATGGCTTAACATGATTTATTCTCTAATGCCACAGATTACCCTCAAATTGTTTCTGATTATGCACACAATTCATTGATGTTCCTTTTCATCGCACCCACTATGCACTGGGGAAGCAGTTCTTTTTCTTTGGAGCCTGCAATTCGAACTGAAACTACGATGGCGACTCCATTAGAAAGTTCTGAACGGTTTCAGGCGAAATGATTCGGCGAGAACTCACCCGAACTCGGGCCTCGGTCAAGTTGGTGTACATGGCGATCTCCTCCCTGGTGGACATGTCGGGATACCGGTTCCGGGTGAAGTATCCCTCCAGTTCCTGGAGCTGGTGCGACGTGAAATGCGTTCGCTGCCGCCGCGGGCGTTTCCCGTTGCCGGCGTTCTTCCCCTTCTCCTTCTCCTCTCCGTTCCCGTCGTTGCTGGACGAGGAGGCCGGCAGCGCGGAATCGCATTCGCCGCCGTTTCCTTTCTCCTCCGCCTCTGTTCCGACGAGGAAATGCCTTGTTATTCTTTTCCCATGCGGGTCCGTCGGTCTGTCCAAACACATACACTGACCCCCCCGGCTCCCCCTCCGCAGAGCCGAATCGGTGGGTAAAGTCGTTCGGGACAAGATTAATTGCATCCGAGCACCCATTGCATTCTTTCTCTCGCTTCCGAATAATTTCCTTTCCGGATTTTCGGCCGCAGCATGCCACATCAATTTCGTCGTAATGATAGTTTTCTAGCAGTCTGAAACTCCCCGAAGTCTACGTGGAGCTTACTTGAAAAAATTGCGAAGTTAAAAATTTTGCAGAATAAAAATTTTAGGCCTAAAATAATCGAGAGGATCATTTTCTATTAATTTCGAATCACCTTAAAAGTTCCTTCTGGAGGAAACGAAGACTTTCAACATCACTTCCTTTTAACTGTTTCTCTTCAACTCTCACATTTGAAAGGATTGGGGAAATTAGTAAAAAGTGAGAGATATCAATGAGGAAAAAGTGAAGGTTACCAAAGAGGAAAAAGTGCAACTCCCCCTTATTTACTGCAACAAATTAATTTTTCTTGTTTGGAGGGCGCGACATTTTTCTGATAAGCAGCAAGATAATCTCCAGCACTTTATTCTGCATAACCTGAAGGCTTAAATGGCCCATGTCATGTAGGCTAATAGGGCAATTATCCTTGAAGGCGAGGAGGGAGAATGTGACAGAAATGGAAGTAATGGTCCTTGTTCATGTCCGTCGTCTATCTTTCCCTCTTTTCCCACGACTGGGTTTTCTGCACTGGACCTCTCTATCCATCACCGGTTACGTCACCTACACATACCCAACTTAGGTCCGCGTCTTAAATTTGCGCTGCCTACCGTGGGAAAATGCATTCACGAATTCGGAGAACGCGTGTCATCCCAAGTGATTGTTATAAAAAATAATAATAAATTGCATGAGGTTCTTCGTCGACGTCATTCGGAACGTACGAGAAGCGCAAAATTTAGGTCTGCTCCAAAACCCGAGAGGAGGTGGAAGAGGTGTTGACACAGCTGGAATCGGGCGATGCCGGGAAGCGCGCAATAACAATTCAAGAAGAGAAAAAATGGGAAGTGCTAAGTGGCTGGTTTTCGTGCCCAGATTAGGAAGACTAGAATCCTCTTCATGAATGAATCACCGCCCCTCTTGTCAGCTATGCATACATCCAGGGGATTTGCAAAATGGTTGCACTTCGCCGGGTCCTAGGGGTTTGCATGGCGAATCCGCGAAGAGCGAAAATTTAAACACTTCGTTACGTCCCGCTTGCGAATTTCGAAAATTTGGAACTGGGTTAGATGTTTATTTTTTAATCTCCCTGTTCGATGCGTACGTACGTTCGTTCATTTTCGTTTTGCGTTGCAGTTTCTCCTGTTGCTGCAAAGTTGGTCAAATGAGGGAATAAGAAGGAAATTCTGCCTCTGCGAATTAAGGTCTTCCATAAGGATCGAATTTCGTGTTTCTGACGCTTTGTTCAATGCCTCGAAAGTTGGTGAACACCTTCGAACATGACGAAACGCGTCGAAATCATTCGTAGAATTTGATTCCGATTAAATGCAGGGAAATACCAACATTTTCACAACAAAGAACGGCTGGAAAGGAAACTCTTTATATCTTTGATCTCTTGGGACATACGAGTCCAAAATGGGATTGGAACTGAGGGAAATCTCCGGCTGGCATTCGGAAGGCACGTCCAAGTGTCAAAAGGGGAGTTGAATTGTCCAGTCTCAATGCCTCCCAATGGGGTACACTAGTCGGCTTCCGTTTCACGCATCCCGACCGAGGCCTAATCCCGAGTTAATTGGAGGCTCTGGGTTTTATGATTATATGGGGCTCGTGCTTACACCCGTCCGTCAATTGGGTCACAGCTGGGGTCAAAACAGGCCATTGTATCTCCGTACGATTCCAGGAACCGTTTGACGAAAGCACGATAGGCCAAATGCACACTCCTCTGAAATGCGATCGGAGGACCTGTTTACGAAGGATAAGGAAATATACATGCAATCTCGATTCTGCGTCGCTCCTCGGCAAAGACGCAATAATCGGTATTTCTATTGGTATTGGTGGGGGGGGAGGGGGGGGGGGGGGGGCAAAAGGTGCTCACAAGGGGGGGGGGGGGGGGGGGGGGGGGGGGGGGGGCAAAAGGTGCTCACATCCAAAAAGCGTGTGAAGCATTTGCTTCCCCTGGCTCAACCTCCAGTTGCTACGTTCTTGTCATGGCCTTGTCACGTCGAGATTGTTTGCCTTTCACACGTGGTCATGGGGACCGACGATCAGACGGCTGACGTTAGAAAAGGCGCCGAAACGTCCAGGCTGGAAACGTGCAGCACGTTCCTCCTTTTCGTTCCGCATTTCTTACTTCCTCGTAAAACGATTGCATTCCTGCCACGATGCTGTGAGATATCTGCAAACTAGGGTAAGGTTTGACGGGAGGTGGAAATCACCCACACATGGTCCGAAGAAGTCATAGCGGCTTATGGCCTTCGCAGGCCTCACCTCACATCACCGCAGGTTCACCATGAGGCTTCGCAGCCTTATGGTGAACCGAGATAGAGCAATTACATTGTGCTCTCAGATGCCCAACCTCTTCGAAAGTGGAAGAGGAGAGAGAAATCGAAAATCGAAATAACATTTAGAAATAGCAAAAGCTTAGTTTTATTATCACGCCTAAGGGAAAAAAAGTATTTTTTTTTAAAACCTTATTGACGTCTGTGCTTGTATAATGTAATAGTTTTATTTTATACAAGTATTGTGATTTAAGTACAGAGTAATTCCCATAAACGGTTATGGTTAAACAAATTGTTCTACATGCAATTGCAATACATCAAACAAATTCTCCAAATGAAATGTCCACATGTGTTTCTTCTTCAACCGTGATCAGGGTCCAAACTATTTAAATTGGAATCACCTTGTAAATATAATTAAAATTATATTAATATTTCAATATCTTTTAAAATTTAGAGAAAATATAAAATTTATAGAAATGGGGAAAAGTTAATCTAGCCTCAAAAGTCAATCTATGTCGAGTCTAAACTGATACTTGGGAGTCCTGAATTGTTTTCCTTAAGTACAGCCAGGTGGTTCTTTTCCAGGTTGTTTTTTCTTGTTTTTGTTTCTTTTTTCCCGCTTTTGCTAATCCACGGGTTCCTTTTTCCAGGTGGCCTTCCTCCTCAGACCCAATGACGTATGAGCAAACAGCTCTCGGTTCCATCCATCCATGCATTAAAATTGTTAGGAGGAGGAAATAGTGATATACAACCGGAATGAGGATAGGAAAATTGAGGAAAACGGAGTTGTTGACAATATACTACATATATGAAGCCGGCTTTTTCTTCATAAGTACAACCAGTAAAACGTCTGCTTGGAATTGTATATCATCGTTATCGATGGCATGTTCGCGCGGCTCGATTGAAGAGACAACTCTTCCGACATGAGGACCTGCGAACAAGCGCTCTTCCATGATAACGAGAGATAAAAGCCTCTCGTGCTGTGTTGGTGTTGTGTTCGTACATGAGGTGTGGCCTCGTCGTCGTTGATAGTCGAGTTTGTCCAGGAAACTTATCTTTTTTTATGGGACTGGGGTCGGTGTGGATAATGCGGCTCTCGTCCTCGTAAATGTCGCCCACTTGACGCTTAAACCCACCCGGATTATCCGCTTATTCTGCTCCCCCGGCATTGTAAATGTTATTAGAGCTGATTTGTTGGGAAAAGATTTGTATATCGGTCGGAAAAACTCGACATAAGTGTGGAGAAGTCAGCCACGTTCTGAAATGACGTCAGCCACATTCTGAAATGACGTCAGACGAAAGGACACGAAGTCGCTGTTCCGTGCACAGCTTGATGACCTGCGTCATCAGCCAGTCAAACTTTGGTACTCCGACAGCTCATGAAAGAAACATGAGAGTTGAGATCTTTGAAATTCTGTATTTCTCTGTATTCAAGGACAAAGGGACGAGCAATTCGCAAGCCCTTTCAATGTTGGCTTGGGACTGTCCCCATTTCTTATCCATGCATATAAAATATGGCCAGGTAGTGTCATTTCTTATCACGGGCAGCCAATTCCATATCTTTCTTATCACCTCAGTTGGATCAATCCTTTGAGTGCACCGAGCTTGGCAACATGTGGTTTCTCAGTGAACCAGACATTTAAACTTCCCCCTGCTTAATGGAATTATCTGCACGGTTCCTGCAGAGGGATTAACCATGGTTAATCCCTCTGGTTAATGGATCTTGCAAGATCCACGCCTCCGTTTTCATCAGTTCGCTTTCTGTTGCTTCCTTGCGTTTCAGCCGAAACTCTTTCCGGGAAGATTAAGTCTTCCTCGATCATGCTGCAAAACTGGCACCAAAGAGCTTCCCCATCACCGAAAGCAAGACCGTATTTCTTACGAAAGAATGAATCCAATCGATTTTCTGATGCAAATCTATCTGCATCAATGAAACACGGAGATCCGACGAAGGCCTTAAAAAAAAACTCCGAGGCCATAAATTTATTTCCGAGAAGTTTAACGTCGATGTCGAAGATGGGAACCTGCAGCTCGGGCTTGCTTTTTATTCCCAGGAAAGAGCCGTTGCGCACAAATGATCTAAACTGTGACGGCAACTTCCCGCTTTTAGCTGATATGATATGGATAAATAAAGAGAGCGGACGGGGCGGAGGGAGGCAATTTTTAGAACATGAAGTATGATAGCGTCTCACTTATGCCAGATTCACAAGCTGCGAGAGGCGAGACAAATCAAAGTGAAAGTCTACCTTTCCGTCGAAAGAAGTCAATGATATGCGGAAATGATGCTTGGAATGCGGAATAGTAACGAAATCGTGATTTAAAAAAAATAATAAATAAATAATTGTCACCTAGCACGTCTGTCAGTCGTTGCCGGCAATCCGCTAGTTGATTTTCTGGCTTAAAATTATCCGCAAAACCATGATCGAACTTCTCAGTATTCATTGCGAAAGATTTCTCTGCGATAAGCAATATTCCAGGGTCAAGGCCCGCTGTGGACGGAGTAAAACCATAAAATTGAAGCGTCAAAAATATCGTCACTTTCGTCAGTAGCGAAAAATAAGGCTCACTGCGTATATTTTGGACCGCCATCACAAGGGGAAAATTCTCGATTGTCAATTATGTAGAGTTTAATTGACTTTTCTTAAGCATAATAGGGCAAGTCATTGTTGAAGCATGGTCTTAGGACTTAGGGCAGGGGTCGGGAACTTGTGGCTCATGAGCCAAATTTAACTCACGAGCCGAAAAGTTTGGTACATTGAGTCATGGCTGAAAACCATGGTTCTTCCTCATTTTTCTCATGCTTCAAAGACTGCATGTCTGTTACCAACTTCAGGAAAAATTCTGTTGTTCTGAGAATCATTTGCTCACAAGCACTTAGCCCAATCGTAATATGGCTCACGTGGCCAAAAAGGTTCCCGAACCCTGACTTAAGGTATGGACTTAGCGGTGTAACCAAATGAACCCTGTCGACGGGCCATCATCTTACCTCGCGGCGTCGTTCCCTTAAACAACCAAAGCCGATGGGAAGCATGGGACACGCTTTGGCATAAGCTTAAGAAAAAAGGCATTAAAGCTGTGGATTAAAGAAATTTGAATTTCATTTTGGGATGAGCTTTTCTTACTTCGCCAAAAGCGATTCTGAGTGACAGATAGACAATGGGACAAATAATGTATTCAAGAAGAGGCACAAGTTATTCCGAATCGTCTCGTTTTAAGCAGTTCGCCCACCAACCGCGCGTTTCTCAATGATCATCTGGCATTTACGTTTTATTATCCGTCCTGTTCTGCATATCGGTGCCAATCCTCTGTTATTGTTTAGATTAAAAGTATGGAATAAGTTATGTTTTTACGTGCATGGGAATCCTTCTCTCAAAATAAATCAACTCGTAAGTGGGGCAATTTCTCCAGAAACGGAAATCGTCCTCGTCCGCCAAGGGCAGTTCAGCACGACCAAGGACCAACTATTACTCGACAACTTTGCCTCCTTTTCTTTCCCACGTCGTGCCTGAACCAAAGCAGGAATTGGGAACCCTTTCATCCAAGAAATGCGAATGCATGGGTTCCAACAAAAAAAATAAACCTAGGAAACTATGAAGAGTTGCGTTTCATATTGTTCATTGTTTGGTTTACTCAAAACCATCGCGTAATTATTTTTCCATAATTTGCTACTCCGAAAGTTCTTAGAAATATAAGTTTTGCACAGGCAAAGATCCAATATGTGCTTAGTAGAGATTAATTTGCGACAGTTCTGTTAAAAAGCGTAAAAACGACAGGCTGCACTCCGACAGGCAGCGTGTGTGCAGCTGAGTCTGGAGTGGATGGTCGCCGGTTACCTCGAGTGCCTGCCCGTCTCCTGTCGTCTCTGACGAGGTACAATCCCATCGTGCTCTCATCTCATCGTGCCCTCATTCCATCATGCCCCAGAACGCGGTAAGGTTTCATTTCACTCCGTGACGTGTTTCTGAGGGTGTTACGAGTCTATTTTACCAGCTGTTGAGGCCGTGGAAATCCTCTCCCCGTGCCATCTCCTTTGTCATATCAACGATCCGACGAAAAGGGGGAATATGCGAATTAATTGAACATTTTCATACCTTCTTGTCGATCGATCGATGATATATGCCCATTATGTCAGACCCATTGCGGCAATGACGGTGTATTACGGAAATCGTTCCATTACCAGAATCGTTCATCGTACACGATCCACGACGTCACTCCTGACATTCCATTGTCACCCATTATATCCAGTTGCGGCAATCATGGCTTGCATATATGCGAGTTGCAAAAACGGATCTGACCTTTAATGTCAGCATGCTATGAATAGGAATAGCATGGATTCCAGCAGGTGCGCATAACAAATAGCATCGATGTCTTAAACGATAGCACCTTGGAGTCAGGGTCTCGCAAACCCCGTCTTTGGTATTCCGCCTTAGAAGAAATATTGGGTGAAACGGTTCTGAGAAAGTCGCGTTAATGGAAGAAGTCAACAAATCCCAAGTTTCGTTTCGAGCTCTTTTTCGTAACGATAACTTGGCTGTTGCCGTGACATAAGAGACTCTCCTCTATTCGACAAGAAATGCTGAGACAGCCCGAGTTGTTTTTCTCGAGAAAACTTGCACTGGTTAGTTTTTCGTTTCTTTGTTTCGCCACTCATAACGTTATTTGTGGAAAATTGGAGGATTCGTACCTCTCAGAACAATCACTGAAAATAATCAATAAATTAAATCTCGCGAACTTGAATCACATTGGAAGTACCTAGAGCGCATCATTGAATTAATTAAACCGGTTTCTGAAATTCGTTATGGTGACAACTGCTTTGAGAATCATTTCCAGCGTCATGGCTCCTTCCGAACATTTTACACATGGGGCTTTTAATGCCAACCGCAACCTCTCCTGACTATTCGACTCTTAAATTGCCAGGGAAACGAAAATCTGAAGGGGCGACTGCGAGCAGACTCCTACCCACCTCTCGAGTCTCTCTTTACGATCGCGTCTTCTGCTTTCGTTAGATGTGATTGACAGCCCCTCATCGGCGGGAGTGATACCGCGCAGGTCCGACTGCGAACGACTCGAACCCATTTTACTCGAAAATTAACCTCCCGGAAAATGGAACGGAGTTGCACGGAAGTAAGGGAGGTTCAGGTCGTGACTCGATTCGCATCTCGCCCTCCGAGTTAAAAGGAATGCACGCAGCTAATTCCGCAAGCCCCTGTCTAGTTCCCCAGTGTCGGCGGTCTCCTATTTTTCTATTGAACTCGGGGCTCTCCTACGCTTGGATGAATGCCTAAAGCACAGACAAAAGTAAACTTGCCTGGTATACCTAAGCCAAGAGCCGTTTAGAGTTGTGCGCAGAGTTCATGGTATCGATATAAGTAAAATTTCCTGGAAATGGGAGATGATGGAAAACCTGAAAAAGATATTCTGTCCTGACTTTCTTCGACCGTCCTTCTCTGAAATCAACGATGCTCATAACGACATGCACTCACCGACTTTGATCTTCCCCGCGTGGGAATCGGGGAGGATCGACGGGGGGCACCCGAGCGGGGAAAGCGCGGACGAGGACGCTGCCGCCATCCCGGCCAGCCCGTGCATGTGGTGATGCCCATGGTGATGAGGATGAAGGTGTCCGTGGTGAAGGTGATGCGGGTGTGGATGTCCGGTCGCGGCTGGGTGATGGTGCATGGGCGGTGTCTCCACACCCACAAAGTCCTGGAGGCACAGGCTCTCGTGTAGCCCTTCCATGATGATGATAATACCCGCCCGGAGTTTACGTCCGGATTATTAGGAAAATCCCGGGGAGCTCTCACTTTAATCCTACCACCTTCCCGCGGAATGTCTATAGATCACACGCAGCAAAGTAAAGGATTTGCTCCCCGGATTTCACGATAAGTCCGCACGCGGGCTTCGTCCCGAGACCATCTTCCCCCTTAATACCACCCAAAGCCCCCTCGCCCTATATATCATATGGCGTGAGGAGTTTCTGTGGGCGGGGCGTGGCCCGCGACGGACCAATGAGCGGCGAGGGGAAGTCATTGATTCGCTGCCTGGCCCCGCCCATGAATCAAGGGAAGGGGGATTTCGAGGCATTAAAGGATCAACGGAAGGATCTTCCCCGATGATATCGAGGAATGGAGAAAAGGCGGCATCCGAGGACTGATGAAGAAGAAAAAAGGGAACGTGCCCCCGCCTGATATAAACTTCTTTCCGTTCCAATCCTCGTTCTCAGGAGAGGAAGGAAAACAATTCAATTAGGCCTGGATTCCGAGCTTACGAGAAGAGACTTTGCAAGCACAAAAACGTCTCACTATCAATTGGGATTTATTCAAAACCTATTGACGCATTTCGAGGCATTAGAAAATTCCTCGCTCGCTGCTTATTTTTAATTCTCCAGCAGATGAACCGAACTTCTTTTATTCGACTGTAATTATCTTTCACCCTTAATCGAGGAATTATCTTACATTTACAGGAATTGTCTTACATCCTAAAATGAGTTCCTGGACTCAGGGAAAAACAATTTCTCTCTTCTGCGCTGGCAGAACCTATTTGTATTCGACTGTGAGTGTTTCGTAGTCGTATTTGCACGTTTATGCACAAAGGCCGCCGCGCGAACAAGGACGGGGGGTCCTTGTCGTCTGCCATCCCGTATATGACACAGGAGATGCCTCATAAATCATGGACTCCGCCATTTATCTTTCCACCAATCTCCACCTTTCCCCGCGGGGCCTAGCCTTTCTGCTCCGTGTTTGTACGACCCCAAAGGGCGGCGTCGGCGAATTCGCCGTCATTTCGCGACCGGAAGCAGGAGATCAGCCTTTCCCGTCGAACAATCGCCTTTGAAACCGCGTTTGCGATATCTTTCAGACGGTGGAAGCGATAATTTATAACATCCCGACGCTCCATCCGGAGCGATATGCTCGGTAGACTTCGATGAAATATCACGAGGCACCGTGGAAAACCATTTCCAAGGTTTCTCCTTTTGCTAGATTCTCGCCCGGCGTCCATCGTGGCGGATGTGAACCATTGACGATCTTGAATTTCGGTCCTTGAAGGTCAAGGGAAGGGAATGAGTGAATCCCTCCGAAAACTTCCGTTCATCGTTAATAATGGGAATCCACTTTCATCGTACGGACCGCTGGTAATCTGTCCTTCCTTTGCCTTCGTGACCCCGAGTTTCCACATTCAATTGAAAATCTTGGAACAAACTGGAAATCTAGAAAAATGGTTTTCCGCATTCCTACACGCGAGAAGGCGTTAGGCCTAAACGAAGCGGAAGAAAAGAGCTCTGTGGACCGAAAACAATAGCCGGCAAAAACGATCCCTCGTCTCCTGCACCGCTGACGTCATCACAAAGGTTATATTGGCGATTGAACTGCGCACGCTCGAGACAGATCGGTGCTCTTCCGAGGCAAGCAAAATGCACCTAAAGAAGAACCGAAACGCAGAAGAAAGAGACGCAATAGAAAAGCGCCATGGACTTGGATGAAAGGCAATCAGGGAGGGGTTTGCGCATGTGCTTCGGTGCTTCAGTGCTGCTTCATAATGATCCATAATGGATCTTCATTTCTTCAACTTTCAAACATTCATCAAGCCATGTTCACATCCCATTTTTTCGTTTGGAACCGTTCCGATTTCACCTTCCTATATACTCCCACATTCAAAATCTGAAAATACCTTCGACTGTGATGAAAATCCCTCATATGGCAACCCTGCTGCCTTCTTGCGGATGCGCGCTGAGAAGGAACGATGGAATGCATTCCATCATTCCTTCAGGGGGAAGTTTCGCTTCTGCATTCTGCTTTATTCTGTGGAACGCAATGACAAATTTATGTGTATGTTTTTACTTCTTCCAGACCCGAAAAAGCCACGATCGGGATAAAACTTCCACATTTTTAAAAGTCATTTTTACGTTCTATAAATATACAAAATATTACATATATAACTGACTGACGAGAGCGGGCTTCCTATCGAGTTCAGCCGTGCAGAATCGTGCCCACCCGAGATGACGCAGGGTGCGAAAGGTTTAAATAGATTTCAAGTCAAGGTCGTCTTGAGCATTTCTCAAACTAAGGGTCGGGCCCCCGTGTCGTGCGAAGGGGGTCTGGAAGATGCATGAAGTCATTTTTTCGGTGTCTTTACCCAGACAAGTCGAAGCATGAGTTTTTCCTGATGGTTTTTTCTTTAGAATCAACGCAAGAAAATACTTTTATTTCGATGTTCATCTTCGGAAACTAGTGGGCCCAAGTAAACGTAACCTACTTGAAAATATTATTACGGAGGGAAAGTTGGAGACGGACGAAGGCAGAGAGGACGAAAGAAGCCAAGGAACGGCCGGGAATTGAACCCGGGCCTCCTGATTGCCGGTCAGGTGTGCTACCTTTACACCACCGAACCCAGGACATTCAGTGGAGCCTCTCGATGCCATCCTCATCCGTCACAATATTGAATACTATGAAGAAAAAAATACATAAAAGAATACTGGACTGCTCCTGTGGGAAAATCGCCGAGTTGCCTCATGGCTGACATGGCCTGACAGTTGCCTCACGAGACAACTGTCTCTCACAACCGGAGAAATTGCTTTTCCTTCGCTTCCAGATAACATCGAGACGGTTGGAGGCCTGGCTTCCCTCTTGGCCTCGGGCATCCGAGTTCGGCTCTGGACTCGCTGAAACCACGCGAAGTGACAAGGTCTAGATTCTAGACTCAAGACTCGATATAATGCGATTCCGGCCTCGATATTCCCGATGGAAAAAAAAGAAGCTGGGATTACCTTGTCCTTTTTTGCCGGTTCACGGGATTATCTGCTCTCGCGCCTCTTCAAGCATTCCTGCGTTGGCTTGTGATCTGGGCTCAGAGTGGCCCTCAAGTTCGTGTACTACACACGGCACCTCAGCCAGGTACTTCTTATTTATCTCTATATTTTTTAAAATCCTCTTGGGACTCACTAGTTGAGAATCGCAGGTCTAGACTGGTGCCGAACGTCTGGCACCACGACTGAAAGCTATAAAAAAAAAAGGAACAGCCTGTTCCAGAAGGGATCAACGTATATGATGCAAGTATATATATCTCATATATATTTTAAATAAAATAGCAAATAATTTCTTCGCTATTCGGCAATTCCGGCGCTTTGGCAATCCATCACCACAGCCTCAAGCAAGATGGTATTTGAAAAAAAGAATCTCCACATTCCCGCTATGTGAAGGCAAAACCTCTGTGAACTCTTAAGATTTTCCACATTCTTCTTGTTAATGAACCACTAATTAGTTCCAAATGGATTTGATTGGATCAGGAAATTGTCTTCTCATGATACGCACACGGATGTTTTTTTTTAAACCTCTCATGCACCGCTCTGCAACGTCAGATTTCATATCTCACGAGAGATTGATGACAAGGTTTCCGTGTAAAAGTTGCTTCACAGCGGCGTTCACAGCGCTCACAGTGGCGTTCTTTCACCTCTGAGGTGAAGGAACGAGAGGGAACGGATGAGAACGACGCGAAAATCTCAGGAGAAGAAATCGCTCTCTGACTTCTGAAAAGTGTAAACGGGCTCCACAAACATTTAAAAAGGTCGGTAGTTTCCATCAATGCAAAAAAAATGGTAAGCAGCTTTTCGAAGTGAAATAAAGTGAGGTAAGCAGATTGTCTCAGCTACCTTTCTCCCTTCAGAAAGATTTCTTAGAGATCTGTCGAATTTCTGGGCCTCCCTAAACATACTCTGATAACCTTTGCTGATATAATTATTGAAGACTTCCCCGATTGGTCATGTGCATGTGGAATCTCATGTGATATCAGCACTGCGACTTGTTATTTCTTGGTGTCTTGATGTTTGCGGGTTTTTTTTTCTATTGTAGAGGGATGCTGTTTTCCGGGAAGATCTTCCGATCCCGAGGAAATCGGCTAATAAAATGGCTGGGCAAGTTCTATATTTAATGCCATATGATAATGTCCAGCCGATTCTGTTGTTTCCCGCCCGGTAATCTGAACTCACTTGATTTTACGTGGTCATTCGACACTATCCAAACGCAGGGTTCGGATCGTACATCGACATTCCGGCAACACCCGAATGGGGCAGCCTCTTAAATGAGAACTCTGAACAACTGAATCAGCAGGGTCGGTTTGGGCACAGTCATTGCATACTAAATTCATAGATATGGTACTGAATACAATAATGCGTACCATCTATGAAGAATCAGCACTTGTGCCATGGCTCCCCGTGTTACGTCACACAGCCCCGCCACAAGTAAACCGTGAGGTTGCAATCGCAAATGTGTCTCTCGCGGGAGCAAGTCCTGCCTTGCCTCTCCACTCCGATCTCTTCGATCCACCCACCCGGTGGCCCCTCTGGGCTATCTTGCCATCAGGCCAAGCCGTGCCAGTGGAGCAGCGCTGGCGCTGAGGTCCAAGTGGTCCGTGTCGATCGCGACTAATCACCAGCTGGTCGACGACCCTTCCGCCGAGCCACCAGGCTTCACCCTTCCACGGAAATGTGGACCCTTCTGAATCGCTTTCATGGGCGTCGTGCGGCTAATGACCGCCGACGGGGACCGCGTGATAGCCCACTGTGCGAATGCAATGGGCCCCGTAGAATTTCACACATAGTTGATGACCTGACTTGCCTCCGTTGTGGCCACCGCACTCTGCACGCCGCTGGTGCTGATAACATCGCATGGCTTAACAGGCATGCCCTGGCCCCATCCACTAACCACCCCACTTGAATTTATGATTAAACCATGTTCGCATGAGCATTTCATAAATAAATAACACGGCTATTCTATATTGGTCAGTCAAAAATAGGCAGGCCGTGTTACGTATTGAGTGCATTAGACATTTGATTGATTACGAAAATGTAGTTATCCTAAACCACTAAAAGCAAGGATCGCACTAAATGAAGATAAAAATTATTATCTCCAGGGATGTTC